GAACCCTGCAAATTTAGAGGGATTCCGCAACTGAGAGCTAGAATTGTATAGTGGAGATCCAGGTTCTAGCAGGTTCTAGACTCACTGGGTGACTTCAGTCACTCTTAGTCCAACCTATATAACAGGGTTGCTATGAGGCAAAAAGATAGATTTTGTATAGCGCTTAAATACAAGAACATACAAAATGAAAAAAAAATCCTAAGACATTATATACCATTAATATACCAATAACATTAATAGGAAGAAAACCACAAATGAGGTCTTATCAGATATTGTAAGATATGCACATATTACATTTTGAAGCACAGATGAAGGTTTATTTTAAAATCCAAACAAAATTAGACTTCCGGTGGGGACAATGGCAGCTTAGTTGTCTCCTTGTGAGAGGGGAGACAGCAGTGCAGCTGGGTCGGTGGCTGGCAGCAAGCACTAGCTGCCCAACTAGCTCAGATTAAGGAGGACGTGAGAAATCAACTCATTCAGTCTCCGGCATGGCTGTTCCTCGTAAGCTAATCACAGAAATGGAAGCTTCTGTTAACAGCTTGTGAGTGAGCAGCTTGGAGGCAGGGATCCACCTTTGTTCACAGCTGTGGTGCAGACTAAATATGGACACTAGAGCTGGCAAAACCCCATTTCTAAATCACTTTGGAATATCACTATTTTTCAACATAAGAGAGACCTTCCCTTGCCACAGATAAGTAATTCTCTTGGTGTTTTTTCGTTAGTTCTGGGACTATAATTTTAAAAGAAGAATTAGAGTTTTATTGTAATTTGAACAATTCGCAAAAAGCTGGATGATAAGGAGAATACAAAAAAGATATAAAAGTTACTTATGGTGAAAGGGGAAGATTTATTTGTTAAAAGTTTAATTTTACGAAACTCCATCTGTATAAATTGGATTTGATTTTTCTGTGGAGATTTTTTTGTTTGTTTGTTTTATGTTTTTTGGTGATGTGCTTGATGAATGGCTGGATTTTCGAAACAGAAGAAGATAGTAATTTGAGCCCTCTGTGTATTTTTCACGGTGTGAAAGGCACCAGAGGGTGTGAACTGTCTGCTTACTTTCACTTATATAATACCTATGGTTGCTTGCTTTGTGGGGAAGAAAAAAAATGGCTAGAAGAGGCCCTTTGGAGCAGCCATTAGAAGATAAAATGACTTCTTTAAGTTAACTGCAATTAATGCTTGATGAATTAGGAGCTAAATTCAAGCCCCTTGAAAAAAAGATAGAGGGAAGAGTGGATAAGATGGTTAATTTTAAAATGGAGGTGACTGAGTTCAATGTGGATTGGGAGTTTTTTTTAATGCTGGATAATGAAGGTGGTATGAACAAAGATGCTGTGAATTTGAAAATGGGTTTAAAAATGTCAGAGGATAAAAGTGATAGGGAAAAGGATGCCAGAATGGACTTAGAAATGAAACCAACTGATGTCACAATGATCAAAGGGGACATACAAATAATGGAAAAGAAGAGTGACCTGGAAAGACTTTTTATCTTGGATTTGCAAAAAGAATGTTGAGGCTGTTCCTGGGAGGAGACAAAGAGAAATTACTGAGGCTGTTTCTGGGGGAAGACAAAGAGACAATGATAGGAAACTGACTTGAGAGACATTATTTGAAAGGATTAAAGATTAAGCTTCTTAAAAGTAAATAGAAGGTTTACAAAGTGAACTTATTTGATTATGGTTAATATGTGTGTTGAGGTTTTCGGTAGTTATTAATGGGACCTTTTTTTGTGACCAAGATTGAATGACAAGGTTTTAAGGATCTGTGAATAAAGGGGGAGAGATTTCATTTGTTTTTTGGGTTTTTTTTTTTTTTTAGAGAAAATGATAAATTGGATTATAAAATGGATTTATTTTTGACTAAGGTTAAAATAAATTTGTTATTAATTTATGGAATTTTGTTCTTGTATATGATAACAGCAGTAAGGCTTTTGTGTATACAAAGGTGGAGGCATCTGACATTACCTACAGTGGAGATATGGATGGTGGGGCTGATAGAGTTGGCTGAGATAGTGAAATTGATGGCTTTGATTTGAGAAAAGACATTGTGTAATTTTAATATTAAATGGAAGCTTTTTTGGGGACTTTTTGCAGGATAGAGAAAAAAATGAAATTCTGTTGTATGAGTATTAGAAATAATACGGATTTATAGTAATAATGACAGCTATGTCATAAACTTAGAACAAAAGATTGTTGTATACTATTACTTATATCTGTTGTGAGGAGGGTCAGAAGTCAATTCTTTTTCTTCCTTTATCTTTATCTTTATCTTTTTCTTTATTTTTATCTTTATCTTTTTTTGTTTTCTCATACATTTGAATTTGGTCATTCTTTTCCTCTAATTTTCCTTTCTTTTTCTTATTTTCTTCCTTTAATATTAGTTTTTATTAGTTTTTACTATTTCTATTTTAAAATTTAGTTATTTTTTTAAAATAATATAAAAAATCCAAACAAAAGTAACTGTGATATAAGAACGTGTAATCTCTTTTAATAAATACCTCATATCAGTTAAACTAACCTTGTGCATGTAAGCATTCAATGTTAAACTCAACACTGTAGCTTTACATGAAGATTATCTGTCTAAAATTGGATCAAGAATTTGATTAAAATACCCACCAATTATCAAAACAATGGAAGATAATCAGGACAAGATGGCTTAGACAATTATGAAATGCACCAATAGTATCTAAATTAGGAGCATAAGTATTAGCTGGAGGGAATTATTTTTTTCAGAACGTTTAACTACCATAATGATAATGGCCTTCTACATCTGTTATCATTTTCAACATAAAGTGCCTTTATTAAAAGAGCCATTCTTCTTTTTTATAAAACTACTAATATAAACCTCTCCCACTCAATCTTTCTGCTACCTAACCCTGATCATCAACAGTTATACATCTCTTGCAAAGATGCAAGGGCCTTGAGTCTTGTCAGTTTAATAAGGATTTGTTTTCCTTTGTTAGGGGTTTCCAGACCACTCAAATTCCATATCACATTATTCAAAGATACAATAATCCAAAGAAATACATATGCATACAAAATATTTAAAAGAAATGCTAACACATAGAAAACTTGGGTAGCCCAACTGAAGCGTACTTTGTAAGTTTTGAAATCTTGGAAGCTAACAGTGAAGATAGGCCTTTCAAACATCAGCCTTTGATTAGAAAAATAAAAAATGAGTTATAACATATATCATATCAGCATATTAACTAAAATGGAATAGGAGACAAGTAAATATAGGTTCAGAATAATTAATTTTCTCCACAGCCATTGTCTTTCCTGCAGGATACTTTAAATCATTTCATTCATGTTTGTTTGAAAGAAGTCTTAGCAGCTCAGTGGAATTTCCTCCAAGATAAGTACAGCCTTAATGTGTGTAATAAAAGAATAGCAGTGAAGGAACATCTCTCCATATATGAACCTGCCCTTTCTTTGTGATCCACCTGGCAAATGTGTTATGGTTTTTCCCACCTTTTTGAAATTAGATGGCTAGCACTATTGCCCTCTGTCAAGGGAATTCAGCTGGTGTTAATTCTTTTCTCTCCTCCTTTTCAGCTCCTAAGATTTTTCTACTACCCCCCGTACCAGGTGTTTGATGTTTTAAATACTCTTATGATTTAAAACTCTTTTTGTTTTAAATAGTAATATAAATTTTATATTATTTTATATTCACATTTTAGGGTTTTTTTTTATTTCTGTTTTTTAAACAAATCTAAAATTGAAAGATGAATCTTTTGATTGGTACATACTTCTACTTAAATTATACTGCCTGGTAAATATATATTTCTAAACCAAATATTAAATTAGAACCAAGCACCTTTCCTGGGAAATGTTTACTCAGGCTGAAGTTGATGTTAAAAGTAATAAAACAACGGTATTCCTTATTCCATGGGATAACACATTTTCAAGGCTGTCTTTCTAGGATTTGATGTGATTACAAGAGTCACTTTTACAATAAATTTTCTCCTTCTTTAAAGCTGGTGGAATTGTTCTAGAGCTATAAACATTTCAGTGACATCTAATTTTGGCAAGCTGTCAGTGATGGATGCTGCTCTAGACAATAAATATAGAAAATGACTATATAATTCTGTTGGTTTTGATCTTGCCCCTGGATTTCAAACATAAGCTTTTGCAATAAATGTTTAATGGGAAGCTTGTCTCTGTGTTCTTTTCTATACATGAACAACTTAGATGAGCTGTATAATATCTGGAAAAAGATCTAAAGATTCTACTCATCAGATCCTCTGGTTCACAGTTAGATACAAAGTTAGGAATACATGGAGCTTGATCTGCAGAGGCCATACTTTTTGCTATATGTTGAAATATTATCAGAATGTTACTAAATTACAGAATAACAAACTTTTTTTTAAAGGAATTAAATGTTTGCAATGTTTCCAGATTCCTTAAAGTGTTGCTTGATATCTGTTATGTAATACCAATTTTATTTCTGATCATAAAAGCTTCTGATTATGAATTGTAACCTGAGCTATTCTACACAACGAAATACCTCTTTCACCTATAGAAGTAGTTGAGGTCCAATAGAGTTCATGTTATCAAAACAGTTTTCTCCAATTCTTCCTTTCCCCATATCACCTTTTGGTTTCAGAAGGTTGCCCAATCTCCAGAACAGGTATTCAAGGTGCTGCAGCAGGAAGAAGAAATTTGCCTCCTTCTCTTCTACTGGTGGGGTTACACTATTAGTGCAATTTCTGCTATGCATATTGTGGATTCAAGCCTGTGTACATGTTTTTTACCTCTACTGAAGTTACATAAAGTAAAAGCCACATTTTGCAGTGGTATTCTTCAGTACCCACTCTATATTTGAAAGTAATGTTTCGCCATTTATGAGAGAATTATACTTTGCTTTCACATAGATCCTTAATTGTCTAACTAATCCTTATTTTATTTTTCTATTAAATAATATATTCTGATTTCATACAATACTGTTTATGAAATGCTGAAGTATTTAATTCCTGTTTAATATTCATTTGATAGCGCATGTTCTGTCGCCCTGTTAAAACAAATCCAGATGACCTAAAGAATCCAGTTAAAATTAGTATTCCACGCTATGTCCTTTGTGGACAGGGAAAGGATGAGCACTATGAATATGAAATCAAGGTAAGGTATTTAATTAATTTTCATTTTTGTTGGTGTGCATGATTTGGGTACATATGGAACCTTTGCATGTTTCATACCTTCTTATGGAAAAGGTTCTGTTTCAAAAGTGAAGAGGGAGCTAGATTGTAATACATAATTGTCCTTTAATTTCTCTCTTTGCTATCTTTATGACTACTGTTCAAGGAACGGTAGAAATAAACTATGAGTCAGGACCCCTTCTGTTAGGAGAACTTTGAGTTGTATCTGATGTCCTACTGGAAAGCACTTCTACAAGTCAGGGCACCAGTTTAGCTCAGCCAGTTATATCTCCTGCACTCCCTAAAACACTGTTTAGGACAGTTATGGAGGGAATTTTTTAAATAGTTGAGGTGGGGAGGCTGAAGAAGTAAAACTGTATGAGTATACAAACTGGAGGAGTATAACTAGAATATCTAAGAAGATAGATGTAAGTGTACAGTATTTGCTAAGTACAGAAGTTAGGCATAATCCCAAGAACCTTGATAAACTAGATACTATTCATATGAGATCAGCTTTATATTCTCTGTGGTTTTACTCCATTGAGTTTATTGTGTCATACCAGCTCTCTTGCAATGGCATCCAGAGTTGGGGAAAGGGGGTGAGACTGATGATAGCAGCTTTGCAGCATTGCATTGCATCCTAATTCTTTTCTGCATGCCTCATGGCATGACACATACTGCCAGAAGGGGCAATTTCTTCTTTCATCACTTTGAAGGAAAGCAGCAAGATCCTGTTGATATTGCCATTCACTTGCACATACTTATTTAATTTTCATGTACTACATCATTCAGTTCTGATGTGTGTATTTTCCATTTTATGATCTAATGCAGAGCTGATTGCATAACTTATCGATATTACAGGCACTCTTCCTCCTGGTTGAGGTAATACCAAGTGGTTAAAAAGTCACGAAAATAGCCCTCTTTACAACAAATCCTGTACATTCTGCCCATAATCATAGAATTACCTCATGGGAAAGTGATTTCCATGCTAATGCAACTGCATATTCAGTCTTTCCCAACAAACTGAAAATGTTGGTTTATTCTGGTTCAAGTCCAATTTTGGTGTGAGAATAATCATGCTTAGTCAGGGAAAATTATCCATTATAGGAAGTTTTGTAATTGAAACCTTTATGCTTCTTTCCTGTTAATTATATACATATTTTTTACTCTTACATAACAGATATCAGTCCTAGATGAGACATGGGCTATATTCAGGAGATATAGCCGCTTTAGAGAAATGCATCAGACATTAAAATTAAAATTCCCAGAGGTAAGTTACTAATCTGTAAATGTATGATTATTTCCTTTTGGTTTATACTGATAGTAAACACCGGTGAACTTTCCTATTTACTTTCTAAGAAGTTATTACATTTCTAGCAGAAATAGTTGTTGTGTATGTTGTCTTTTGGCAATTTTTGTTTTATGCTGATGCTGATTTGGAAGAAATTTTTAAAAGATTTCTATGCTGTGTTTTGTGAGACAAAGTTTACCTCTTAGTTCCAAGATTTTCAATCTTTGTACATTTCTTTTAAACTGCCAAAGTTTTACAAAGGACCATTTTTATGAGGCCCTTCAGAGATCTTTTTTGAGAGTTGAAGAAGTTAGATCTGTGGTTTCACATTATGGGTTAAAGCCAGCAGAGTTTCCGGCTCCACTAAGTGAGCTCTCATAGGTTGAAGAAGGGGAATGCGATCTTTTTCCTTTTCATCTGTAGCCTTCAGCAACACCTCCCACTAATGGTGTTCCCAGCAGTTAGGAGCCAATGTCCTGGTGCCTGAAGGGCAGGAGAAAGGAGCAGAATTTGCCTTGCCACACTCCCTTACGCTCCCATGAAAATCCAAGGCACAGGGTTTTCTTCTGCACAATTATGAATTGAAATCATTACCTCTCTCTTGCTGTTACTTCTTTTCTATATTTTTATTTTCTTTTATCCTAAAAGTCTTCATGTATAATTTTATGGGATTCTGCATATGTGAATGCATATACTTCTGTAATTTATTACAGTTATAACCCTTTGTTTCTTTGAAGGAACATAGCTTCTCCTCCATTCTATTCACGCAAATGCTTTATGAGATACTTTAGGCTGGGAGCTAATGATCAGTCCAAGGTCGCTTACTAAGTTTCAGGTATGAGTGCAGGAGGGAAGGGAGGAACATAGATCTATCCAATCCTAATATAATTCTTTAATTACATTATATTAACAAATATAATTAAATTACGCCTGTACCTTAGATGAATATTGCAGGACCCAAGTAAGAATATGTGCCCCACAATGCAGCTCAGCTACAGTATATTGGTATTTTTATGTAGACTCCCTTTCCTATCCCACCAGCACTACCCAAACATACATGGATAATATTTATGCATATATTGAGGATAATAGTTTATCCACCTAAATATTTTCATATTTTACATCTGTCATTTATTGTGCAAGTCAACTCTTTATGTAAGAATTATGTAAGAATTCAGCAATATCTATTGACCTGAGCCATCTGAAGTTAAAACAGCACATTTTTTGTTCATTACAAAGTCGTAGCCATCTAGTTATCAGTGTCAGTATGGCAGTTGATGATGGAAATGTCTTTGTCTTTGTGAGCAAGTTAGTTAAAAAGATGCAGGGCATAGAGGAAAATGCCAACTTCGTTCATTTGTTTTGTTTTTGTGTTTTTGTTATTGTTCCTTATTTTTAAATTTGTAATTACCTTTATTAAATATTTTAACAATAGTAAAAGATAACACAAACTGAAATCAAAGAGAAAGAAAAGAATAGAAAGAGGAAGGAAGAAGGAAGGAAGGAAGGAAGGAAGGAAGGAAGGAAGGAAGGAAGGAAGGAAGGAAGGAAGGAAGGAAGGAAGGAAGGAAGGTTGGTTTAAAGAAATTACTTCTGATCTTCTTTATAACTACAAGCAGTCTTAGTATTTCTCTACCCCCTTTGATATTATGTTACATAAATCATTTATTCCCATATCTCAATCCTTATCCATCTGCACATCCAAATATCATTAATGTTTCTATCCAGTATCAGCAAAAAGTCCATAAAGGGTTCCAGAATTTTATAAAAGTATTTCTTGTTTTAACCCTGAATAAACAGGTCAGCTTTATATTCCTTTCTTTTGTTCCTAACATTCTTAATGTTTGCTTCATTAAGATGCTGTCATAGGATTTGATCTCCATCAAAATTTTCTTTCTCCAATCTCGGGTGTTTCTTCACAACTTTTTTAACAGCTCTTTTTTATAAATCCAGTAATGAGTCATTACCCAGGTCATGTTTAATCTCTTGGCTTATTGCTTGTATTTCCACTTTAGTTTTCATCTAGCATTAGTCTTATAATCCACTTCTTTTTTTATTTTCCAGCATTTCTGCATAGGCTGGAGTTGTTTTACCTCTTCATCCTGTTGATCTGTAAATTCTTCCAAATTATTCTCCTTTGCATCTTTCATTTCTTCTTCAAGATCTCTTTTAAATAGTGCATTTGCATGAGCAGATATTGTTGCTGTCATTGTAACTGCAAGCTTCTTTCCCATTTCTTCAGAAATCCTGTGAAATGTTTCCAATGTAATACTGTACCTTTATCTGTCATTTCTGTAAGTTTTACTGCTGGTCATCAAATTCAAAAGTAAGGAAGAGGTTTTTCTTTTCTTTTTTCTTTTCCTTCTGCCTGAAATCTTCAGTCCCATCTAGTGTCTCCTTTCTGTAATCACATATTCTGTCTCAAATTTCTTTTACCTCTTTGTTTTAAAAAACCAACCAATCATCTCTTTCCTGAATAACTAAACAATTTATGTTCCCATGAAGATACTGTTTTGTTTTTAATTACTTCAAAAGTCTTAAAGCAAAAGTCATAATATTTCAAATATTAAATATTTCAAATTTGTCTGGTCCCTAGTTTGTTTCAGACTTTCTTGAATTAAATTCTTCTCTAGCTTTTTGTCATTTACTTTGTATTATTTAAGTTCTTTAAATGGTTAATTATTTTTTCCCTTTATTCTGGAATGAAGGATCACTCACCTAGTAGTTTTTCAAACTTGTTGCTTGAAAGATCTCTTTTAACTTCAAAATAGTTATATTCCAAAAGTGTTTAGGAAGTAAGGTTTGATGAACCCAGTGTTGATATAGGCTCTGCTGCAGTTAAGAGTTTTATGGCTTCCCTCGTCTCCTGGCGGTCAGATCTGTGAATTGACTGTTGTCCTGTGGTTTCGTGAGGAGCAGCCATCTGGAGCACACGTAGGCAATCTCTTGTCTTCTCCTTATCCAGAGAGGTTCCTTTGGACCAGGTTTGTTGCTGGTCCGTTGATCTTGGCTGCAGCGATGTCTCTGCTCTTCAGAGATGTCTTAGCTCACCATTCCCTCACTCAGTTTTTAACTATTTGTAAATTGCCCAGAGTCACTGGAAGTTGGGCAGCATATAAATTTAATAGGTTGTTGTTGTTGTTATTATTATTAAAATGTACTAACTCAAGAATAATCACATTCAGTTTTATGTGTTATTTCCATTGTAGAAATCAACATTTCAGATATCTCTGTCCTCACGTTCCTGGATACTGATAGTTTTCTGAATTGGTTCTGGTTTATGGATATAGAAATATGTAGTGGTATAAAAGCAACACTAGAGAATTTGCATGTATTTGTAAGCAGTGTGACAAGGATGATTTCTCCTTCAGTGTCATCTTAATGAGTTCTAACCTTTGACGTTTATTGATTTTCTTTTGTTTTCTTGCTCTTTGTACATAGCAAGATGAAATGGAATTTCATTATCTGCCTGATGTGTATGTGTATATATTTATTGGTCTTTCTTAAACCCTAAGGAAGTCTCATTGCACTGAAAAAAAATTAATTTTAGCATGTTGCCTAAAATCTATTCTGTTACCTCCTCTCATTTCCATGCATGCACATCACAAAAATAGCTGTATTTTTTAAGTGCCATACCTGTTAACCAATATCACTCTCTGGTCATGTTAACATATAATGTTAAGCTATGATTTAATGATCCATGAAAAGACTCCAAAGCTCAAAAAAGGTTTTGGGCTCACACCTCCTCCTCCTCCCACACTGGCAGGGAATGTAAGAGAATGACTTGAGTTACTGTCACTATGCCAGATCAAAGAATAATTATTTAAAATTAACTTTAATTGAAGCTTCAAAAAACAAAATCCAGAATTTGTGGTTGATTGTGGTTTCTTTTAAACAATTATTCTTGGTTTGGCTGTAATAACAAACTAGGGATTGTAAAAATTGAATCTTGGTAAAAGCTTCCCAGTCAAGAAAAAGAAGAAAGAGATGGAAGTACATTAGCTCAAGATCCTTCTTGGCTTCTCAGGAGTTGGATATAAATCCCACTAAGCATTAGGTGCTTGGGTTGTGAATATTTCCAAAATGATTCAGAATAAATGCTTCAGAGCTTGCATGACCACAGCACTTCTCTGCTATTAATTAAAGCAGCAACATCCTTTCTCAAATGAACAACGGAGAAGTGCTTTCCTTATACATACAGGCAGTCCTCACTTAGCGACCACAATTGAGGCAACTTGGCCACTAAGTAGAAAATCACATGACTGCGATTGAGCTTACGACCTTACTTTCCCTTTGGTCATTAAATGAAGTGACACGGTTGCTAAGGGAAAAATCATGTGACTGCAACTTAGGATTTTACTTCCACCTTCCATACTGTACAGTATTAACTTTGCTTGTTGCAAACAAAAATGCACACCAGTTGCAAAGCATGTGAATGGTGATGCTGTGACGGTCATAAATGCAAGGATTGGTCACAAAGTTTTTTTTTAGCACCGTCGTAACTCTGCTTCTTGCAAACAAAAATGCACACCAGTTGCACAAGTCAGTTGGTATGTGAGGACTACCTGTAATCCAAAGCACATCTTTGAAGCACATGTGGTTCTCTGAAGTGCAAACTAAGCCTCTTTTTGAGATATTTCAAGAAGTCTGTCAACAGCAATTATGAAGAAATCAACCAATAGATTGGCCTGCTTAGCTATAAAAATAAAATATTGCTATAAAAAATGCATGGCTAACTTGTTGAACTGGTACTCCCATCAGCTGTTATAATTAGTCATGCATTGCTCCTCCCTGATATAAACCAGTTTATCAGATTTGAAATAATAAAGTATAACAACTGTTAATATTCTATAAACTTAAATATTGCATTATGTTCTGTGAAAATTTAGATTCTATAAATGATCTAGGGTACATTTTGGAACCTGTTTAGCCTGATTAGCACAAAATGCAATCTGACCCGTGCTGATAATGTTTTAATC